TTTGTGTTCTGCATGAGAAATACGATGTTAAGTTTCGGCAGACTTTTTTTTTTTTTTTAGAAGGAGAAGCAGTTGAGGTAGGGAGAATAGCTGACGTGAGGACTTTTTTTTTTAGAAGAAGAAGTAATTGAAGTAGGGAGAACAGTTTTTTGTTTCACGGGGCCCGATCTAGAGAATTGTCCTGGGGCCCGGCCTGGCTCTCAGCGGCCCTGAACAGAGCCCCTTAACCTCCATTTTTAATCAGATTTTTTTCAGAATCAATATGCTTCATCCCCTTAAAAAGCTTGATTTTTCCTGAATATTTCAGTTTGATATCGTTTTTTGTTTCTGAGTTAGGATTTTTTCAGTATTTCAATCTCCCTTATTTCCTAATTTTTAATTATTTATTTATTTATTTATTTATTTATTTATTTATTTATTTATTTATTTATTCCCTTATAGAGCTTGATTTTTACTAAACAGTTCATGTCGATATTGTTTTTCGTTTTTTATTTATAATTTTTTTAATTTCAACCCCTCCTTAAACCCCCTATTATTATTCAGATTTTTTTTTTCAAAATCACAGGGCTTCTACCCCTTATAGAGCTTGAGTTTTGCTAAAAAGTTCATGTTGATATCGCTTTCCGTTTTTTATTTAGGAGATTTTTTTTTTAATTTGAACCTTCCGTATTTATTTATTTATTTATTTATTTATTTATTTATTTATTTATTCCCTTAAAGAGCTTGATTTTTACTAAACATTTCATGTCGATATTGTTTTTCGTTTTTGTTTTATAATTCTTTTAATTTCAACCCCACTTAAACCCCCTATTATTATTCACATTTTTTTTTCAAAATCAAAGGGCTTTTACCCCTTATAGAGCTTGAGTTTTGCTAAAAATTTCAAGTTGTCATTTTTACAGAATCAGTCTTTATCGCTTTCCGTTTTTTATTTAGGAGATTTTTTTTTAATTTGAACCTTCCGTAACCCCCCATTTTTAAACAGATTTTTTTCAGAATCAGTAGGCTTCTTCATATAGAGCCTTGATTTTTAACAAACATTTCATGTTGATATCGCTTTTCGTTTTTGATTTTTTTTTTTTTTTTTTTGTTAATTTCAACTTACCTTTAAACCCCCATTTTTGTATTTCTTTTAAAATAAATAGGCTTTCTCCACTTATAGAGCTTGATTTTTGTTAAAAATTTCAAGTTGATGATATCATTTTTCGTTATTAAGTTAAGATTTTTTTTTAATATTTCAACCCCTCTTTTTCCCCCAATTTTTATTCAGAATTTTTTTCAAAATCATTAGGCTTCGTCCCCTTATAGAACTTGTTTTCCTGAAATTTTTAAGTTGCTATTTCCACTATTTAATATCAGCGAGTTGTGTGTTTAAGGCTTAACATAACGTTAAACCTCAACGATGGCCTATTTTATATTATTTTTTAATAAAAAACATGGATGGTGCCTGGTCTTGTACTTCCTTAGTGTGTTGATCACGAATTTGAAAAATTAGAACTAGACAGTTTCGATTAAATTGTTTAGCGACCAGTCTGGCCATACAAGTCACAGACTGCGAAGATTATAATAATCAGTAGGACGAACTAAGTTAAAAGTTTACTTACGATCTAATTCACTCAAGGTATAGAAGTCATTTTCTTTGAATACTATGTTAAATCGCATTGAAGTTTTATTTTAGGCAAAAAAATGGCTGCTATATCAACTCATTTTTCCTCAGTTACTGTAACAAAGACGCTGCTCTAAATCAACTATATTTTTAAATACAAAGCTTTGGCTTAACTAAATATGTTTGGTAGGTAAAAAATTCAAGAATAAATTTCTAAACTACCAAAGGTGAAATCAAACCAAAAATTGAAAAATATCCCTGCCTTCCGGCAGCATTTGAACCTGAATCTGACTTGCCAAGCCAGTGCCTTTACCGCTTGACGCTGGCATACAGAAACACTTCGTTCTTTAACCAATAAATTATTTTTCTTTTGTTACTTCAAAATCACGATAATAATCTTAACTTCAAATTATACTAAGCCCCTCATATTAAATGAGCCAAATTATAAATTATAAACAGATTATAAAATGATTAGCTTGCCGCAGCAATTTACCTAATTAATGTTTGTTTTATTTGGCAAAATTCCGTTAATCAATTAAAAAATTTTATGACCTGGTCTATTTTATCTTTTTGTCAGTCAAAAACCTGTTTGTAATCCCTGCCAATAGTGCCAATACCTAATAAAGACGGTTTTCCACTAAACGGACAGTTGAGTTTATGTTTTGTTTGTGTTTTCTGGAACTTGAAAAACGAAAACAAAACTGAGACAAACTCAAAACTCTTGTTTCCATCAAGCGGACTTCATTTTGTTACAGTTTTGTTTTCGGTCCTTTTCCACTGGTTGTTGCGAGGAAATCAGAACACATTTTTTCAATATTTTATTTATATTTATATACATACCTATTTATTTTTTAAGATAGTTCCAAATTGAAAATACATATAAAAATAGTTTAAAATATGTGACATCATAAAAACCTAAAAATGACAATATACTACTAATAAATATACTTATATAAATTTATCCAGCGTTTCAAAATAAATTACTTTAAAAAAATACGTTATTTACTTGCCTACAGGTACCAATTTGGTACAAAATTTAGACTACACAACACGACCGTTTCCAGTTTCCAGGATGACCGGGTTCGATTCCCGGCTGGACAGGCTTCTTCAAATCTCCAAGTATTTGTTTTCACCTTTGGGGTTCGAGGATGGTCTTAAGAATTCGTAGGGGGATTTTTGAGATTTGTTTCCGAATTTTCAAAATTACTCATTCACTTATTTCAGATATTTCTCTGACTTTTCATAAATTTTTTGCACTAATTCTATATCTAGCCAATAGATAGATAACTAACTGTACCTCCGAAATGAACTTCTGTAACATTAATTCGTCACAAAATCCAATGGATACGCCATCCTTAAACCCAAAACAATATCAGGAAACAATATATCAGACGTAGTTTAATGATTTAAATCAATTTTTTAAATATTTTTTTATTTCTGTAACTTTCATCAATATATTATCTCTATATACTTAATAAAATTGACATTACCAAGAAAACTGTTTTATAAAATATGTCGCTGGAATATCTCCTTTACCAGAATTTTTAATATTTTATGAAGATTTTATACTGCGATCCATATCAAACACATACGAATGTCACGTAAAGCCAATAAATTTTTCGAAATAAATTATTGCAGATCGTGTTTCGCACATTCAAATATAAAAGTAATGACTCAGGAATATTTTAGGGCTGCAGATCGGAATTTGAATTTTTCACAATTCTTATTCACTTTTTTTTCGGAGAAGGTTATTTATATTTTATGTGTGTACGATCAATATAATTATGAACTTACTTTGTAACTTACTAAATACTTTATGGTTGACGTAGTGCATAAATTTGAGATTTTTTTAAGATTGTTATTTACTCGTGAAATTTATAGTTTAACGATTCGGTATTTCATTTTGAAGACTACGTTTTATAAATTATATTTATTCAAATCTACATAAGTTCTCAAAATTACCAAATTGCATGAAACAAAAAAACTATTGCATAAATCAAAAGAATTATTAAACTATACAAAAGCGTAAATATTTGTAAGTAATAGCGGAGACTGGCGATTCACACTCTACACCAATGGGTTTAAGATCAACGAAGGTTCAATATGAATGTAAAACTCTGAACCTAAACATAAACTGATGGGTAAAAATGTTAAAGAGAGTTCAAACCGAACTAACAAACATTGCAATAGATGAAAAAATGATACAATCCTAGATATCTACGACTCCAGACAATCTTGTTGTAGGAAGTATGGAAGATTTGTTCCTAGAGAGACTTTAAAAAACCTGCAAATTATAAAAATATTAATCTGGAATAGATATATCTGCATTTTCCCTTTTATTTCATAATATTTTTCTATGGGCGCTGGCAGGGGCCCGTTTCAGGATATGACATGTGACGGCTATTACTTAAGAATAATACATATTTATAAAATTTATAAAAATGTATTTATCGTTTTACAAAATAAACACAAAGCGCAAAATGTAAATATTCAATTATTTATATAAATATTTATTCAAAAGACCGGTTCTTTTATAGCCGTTCAACATTACTATTTTCCAAATATGATGAATATAAATAACGATTAACATCGTTTATTTCTATCTTTTTACAAATGCCAACCATTAAGCAAGATTTATTGCTACGATTATTTAAATTAACACCTTATTAGAATTATTATTTGTACCTACACCTATCAAGAGTTTTCTTGTTATATGCATTGGCAATAACGCGGAAGAAAAAAATAATAGACGTGACAAATATTAAAGCAATTACTTGCTGCCAAGCCTTTGATTTGAAAGAAAATGTTGGTTTTACTTTCACATCTATCACATAGGGTAACGAAAATAAATGGTTTTCATTTTGATATATCGCGTGACAAGGCAACCATTTTTACAGTTTTTAAAATTAATATTTAAATTTAGATACCTATTAATGACATGACTTATATATAATAATAATAATACTATTTTGCTAAACAATTTGTAATTTTAAACTAAATGTGTTTTTTTTTTATTTTCCCTATAAATAAAACAAAACAAATTAGGCGTCACTTTTTCAAAATCTAAAATGTGATAAAAAATTACAGATTTCAAATTTAGACAGTCATTTATATCAAACTCAGCATGCACTTGCTCTTGTACCAGGACACAGCGGGTTGAGGGTAACGAGATTTGTGGCAGTAGCATAATATTAGGAGAGATTGAAAAGGAATTGAGCAGTAAAAAACCGACATTCTATGTACTTTCACCGTCTTAGAAAGATCTTTGGCTTTCAAAAGGTGTGGTTTGTACGGTAACCTATAATCAAGTGTAAGAGGGTTGTCAGATTTGTATTACACATTTTTAATAAACAGCTAACTTCGGTTTTAATTTATCTTATTTCTATTGTTTCAGTATGGTTCCGACGAATTCGCCCACGAATCTCCCAGATACACATCACCTGGTGCAAATTCCTACTACTTGACAGCAGATGGTACGCCGACCTCGGCGGTGGGCGGTACCGGCGGGGCTCCTGGTCCTGGAGGTCCCGGAACAGGAGAATGGCCCGCCACATACTCATACCAAACGTACGAAGCCTTCGGTCTCATTCCGGAGACTGAACCCCCTGGCCAAGGATTACCTCCCATGTCCTCGTTGAGGCCTAATGGGACGCCGACTGCCACCACCTTGGCGGGACCTAACAGTGCCACTTTTGGACCATCTAGTACAGATACAGTCGTTAATAAAGGATTGGGAGGTGTAAGTATTTTAAATTGTATTATTCTTTATTTATTATTTAAAAGCCAAAGATCAATTATCTAAACTAGCTGCTTCTCAGCTTCAGCTTGATGTAACTGTGATAATAATGAAGTTTCTTTGGTCTACTAAGATTTGCAACTGTATACCATAGCTCGGTTCTTGGAATAGAGTCAACTTAATTCAGAATCTGAGTTATTTAGTCCTCAACCCTTTTTGGTTATTGCAAAAGGTCGTGCCAAAGGAATGATCTACTACTGGACAGATACCAAAATACTTATACGTAAACTTTTGAAGAACGTATCTACTGAGATCCTAGAAAGGTCAATCAATTATATACGCATTTTAACAGGTTAATGTTGTCTGAAGAGACCATGTGAAGAAGATGGGTCTGCAATAGACATTGAACTGTCGTTTCTGAAATGAAGGTAAGATCCTACCTGCCTTGGAAGGAATTGCCCCAAATATTTACTAAAAACAATCATCGACTTCATCAAGACTCGTACCATCCACAAATAAATTAGGAATGAGCAAGATTAGAATTCAAACCACCTATCACAGCTCAGAATTATAGGACTATTCACGATCTGGAATGGTGACCAAACTCGTAGAACTCGGGGTTTATCTAGACGGTAGAATGTATGGGTATAATCAATGAGTTTCATGAATGGGAAGGTATAGGGCATCTAAATGGTGGAACAATTAGCGCATTGGGCTGCATTTCCAGAGAAGGGAAATCAGGCTGGAACCCAAGCTGGATTCGGGAAATCTGTCGGAACCACTCAGGGGGAGCAGAGGAAAAATACAGATCTAATGATGGATCACTGTCGTCTGAAGAGACTACGTAGGAAAGATGGGTTAGCAACAGACATCGGACCGTCATTTAAGAAATTCTACCTGCTTTGGAAAGCAGACTTGTATCGTCTATTAAAAAAAAAATAGGCATGAGCAAGATGACATGATGGATCTCAGTGGTATTGACGTTATTGTACTATACATTTTAAGACTAAACCTTTTTCTCTTAAAGATTTTCTAAATGATTTTCTTAAAGAATCCAGGTATAATTGCTGTGCCATAAAATCTTGGTGTCATTAGCAAATAGAGTGAAAATACTTGCAATGTTAAGTTGAGCTGTCATTTATATAAAGAAGGAATAAAATGGGATCCACGCAGAACCCTGAGACACTTCCCAATTTGCATTAAAAGCTAGTAGCTTACGTTCTGAAAGATAAGATTTTACCCAACTCCCAATGACTTGGTCAAATAACAAAATATCGCCGCTACAGCTTCGTTAAAATTAATTTTATAATAAACAAGTTCAAGACAGGAAAATATTGAATCCATCAGAAATATTCTTTTTCTTTTGAAAGCCAAATTGTTGTGTTTCAAGCAAAAGTAAAATATAGACTTTCAACTAAACAAAATTTAAAGATGTGAACCAGCTAAGGTGTTATACATCAGCTGGTAGAAAAAATCTTTTGATAAACGAAAGATGACATTTTATTATTATTATTATTATTATTATTATTATTATTATTATTATTTATTTTTTTTGTAGATATATCCCGCAGCCGAACAAGCAAGCGCCAGTAGTTACAGCTCAGCACCATCCACCCCCGTCAGTTCGCCACCACCGCCGATTCCTACCGGTTGGCTGACGAATCACACCACTCCTCACTCGCCGCACTACACACAAGCCGTCAATGTAAATAATACTGTCGCCCCTCAGGGAATTCACATGGTGAGTATCAACAAGTGGATACTGGTTTTCATACCCTGTTCCATGAGAGAGTCAGATATTTTCGAATGTGTATGTATGAGAATCATTGTATAAATATACAGCTACGATTATAGCAATTCCTTTTCCTGAGTTTTACGTTTTTAAACCAGAGCAGGTACATTTTTATTTTAATAGTATTTGTATAGAAGTTGTTAAAATTTTATTTTATACTTTTTATATTTTTAATTAATAATATGATTTATATAAAATTCTACTACCATGAGGAAACTTATCTTTAAAAAAAAAAATTATTTATAATTTCTCAGGGTCTTTCTACCCAAACTCCAGTTTTATATTGTAACGCTCTTCGTCAAGAGTTAGGTCCTTATTTATAAACAAAATTCAGTAGAATCGGACTTGGGTAAGTCGTCCTTGAACTAAAATCGAAGTTCGGTTACAACGTCTCTAAAGTTCCAGGTGGTTTTGGTTCCGATAGATATTAGCAAATCTGTAACTATTTACTGTTACGGATTTGTTACTACCCATCTCTAAATTCACGCGATATAACCGAACTTTTCGTTCAAGGACGACTCAGCCAAATCTTGTCTTAGCATTTTTCTTTCATATAGAGATCTGAAATTAAGATCGCAGCGCCACCTAGTAAACTCGCCGGAACCACTTATTAATACAAACATATTTACAGATGACTCGCATTTGTTTACGATGGGTCGAAACTTTTTTCATGTTATATTTAATTTTTTTTTTAGCATGTTTAAGAATACATACATATTTGTACAACTAAAAACAGTGTGGTTTTAGTGATTTATTAGTTTTATTTAGTTTTTAAAAACATTAAGGAACAATTTGTGGAAATTGTTTTTCCTGGTAGTAATTTATTTTAGTAAAATGTCTTATTTACTTTAGAATTATTTGGTAATAAATTTGACATTTCTGGTAATATTTGGTGATTAGACATATGTTTATACTATTATAAAAATTCCACAACTACTAATAATAATTTTAAAATAATTACATAAAAAAACTAAAGGAGTTTTTTTTTGTTTCGAAAACATGTCTCAGTTTATTTTGGAACCTAACTATGTACTTTCCAACATCAGGAAATTGATGAAAAATCAGGTCGAGATTTCCCCTTTTTCATGAGTTACACTATGAAACTGAACAGTAATAATTTGCTACAGGGGTGTATCAAAAAATGTTAAAAACTAATATTTTCTTGAATTCGGAATATCTTGTTCAAAATCGGTTTGCTGTCGTAAAATGTCATTAGAAACAAGTTTCTCTGATAACTTTTTTCATATTTAAAAAAAGTCAATTTTTAAACGATTTGTCAAAAAAAATGGAAATGACAGATAAATAATGTCATTAGCCAACTTTAATATGGACTATTTAAAGCTTTTAAATAAGCAGATGTTATTGTCCTACGATGTTTTTTTTTCCAATCTTAGTATTAAAAAAATCCCATATGGATCCAACTTTATGATACAAACTGTATAATTAAATAAATAAATTGGCCTTACAACTTGATTTCATCAATATTTTATCAAAAATTCACCTTTATTTTTTTTGTTTGAACTACATCTACTGAAAACTCTTTTTTTTAATTTTTTCTCGCAAAAATCAATTATGATATAATTAAAGATGATGTTGATTCAATTTACAATCTTTTATTTGTAAAAACTGATTTTTCAATATAATAAAATGTTTAATGAAAATTTAACTTTCTCATGGAATTGGATATGTTTAATATTATGTGACATTACACTCAATGTATGAGATTGTACATTGTTACCTAATTTTAAATTTATTGGGTTTATTATTAGATGTTAGAAATGTATTCCAATCAATTTTAGTTTTATAGTTTAGTAATGTACAATTTGAAATTTTGTGGGTCAAATCACATATTGTCGTTGTTAGTCCAATAGGTCGTATGTTGAAAAAAAAAAGAAAGTTTTAGGAGATACAAAAATATTAAGTAATAATTAAGTAATAATTTATAGGTTCGTACTGTTTTTTTTTTTTAAGAGATATTAGTTAAGATGCAAAAGCCGCTTTATTATTGGATTATCGCATGCGAACTATTGCTGCACGTTATAAACAGTTTTTTTTTGTTTTAAATATATCTTTAGCTAAAAATGTATTTTTGACATACGACCTATTGCAGTATTAACGACGAATTATTGATTTTTTTTACTGAAATTAAAATTTTGTTTAATTTTATAAATATTCTCTAACTCGTAGCAATAATTCTTGAAAACTTAAATGTTGTTCATTGTTTTTTTACTGGGCTACCCTTATTAATAGTGTTGGAACTTTTCATGAAAAGTAATTTTTGGACTAGGAACACTGGAAATAATATGCCGTTCCCTTTTTTTTTAATCTGTCAAAAGAAACTGCTGTTTGATATCCCCTGGGAATATAAGACACACAGTTAAATGTTTTTCCATCCTGGATGTATTTTCAAAAACACTTTAGGAACAATATTTGTATTTTCGTTTTTTTTTAGGCAAATAATTTGTAAAATACGTTCAAAATTTGTTTTTTTTTGTCATTTTTGACGTTTTTATTTTAATAAGGTATGAAACGAAAATTCTAAAACACTTTTCCACTTTTGAAAAGTCCGTCGGACTGAAAAGTCCGTCGGACTGAAAAGTCCGTCGACTTGTCTGTAGTCTTTTCCCATCACTACTTATTAATACCTATTACTTATCTACTTTGTCCCACTAATAATAAAAGTTTCAAATTAGGTACCCATATTACTGATTTTAGTATGGTTGATCATATTCGAGAACCTTAAAATACATTATCATCATGGAGAAAAATGACCCAATTTAACATATATATTATTTCGAATTGAAATCGATAGAAACATATTTTTTACTTATTTAGTACTTACTAATAATGGTCATTGGAGAACAGACATTACCATCATCTATTTTCCAGTTATAACATACTTTAACTTGTTTTTTTTTATGTACATTTGTAATTATTAAAGAATACTTTTTTTAATCGATTTAATAATATTAGACATTAGGATAAGTTTTTTTTTAACAGTTAGTTGACACGGTAGAAAAAATAATTTGGGCAGTTCGTGTTCAAAGTGTGTTTTTAAATCATGAAATTTCAAGTTTTTCTGTTAGTGAAAAATATACCACTTTATAAAGTTGTTGCATAAATAATTTTTTTTTATTAATATAAATCGCATTAATTAAGAAGCATAAAAATAAATCTTCAATTGAAGATAAAAATTATTTCATTAAAAGAAACTTAATTGTCGTGAAATATGAAAATAATGTTAATGCACGTTTAATTATTTACAAAAATGTGCCGATTTTGGTATAGTAGTTTTAAATTGGGTACATTTTTCTCTGACATGACCTCATAATATTGAGAATATGTGATCTCTTTTATTGAACATTATTTTAAACTGATTGTTATTTCCTAGACTGCTGGCCCGACTGGAACGACCTGTAGCTATCCTATAAATGTAAGTTCTATTGAAATTGTTCTTTATGTGACCGTTTTTATGAGAAATCCTTTAGATATATATTAAAAACATAACAGTGTGTTGTATTTATCTCATACATATGATTGGTGTTGTTAAAATATTCTTTTTAGAGGAATGATTTGTAGACTTAGAGCACTTGTTGTTAAACTTTTTTTAATACTTTGTTTATATTTATTTAATCCTTACTTTCTAAATGCTTTTGTTTTATCAAACTGCATACAGAATTCTAGTTAAGTGCTTATGACATGATGACAAGGAATATCAATTTACATAATCTGGTTGTACATCACAAAGACATACATGCTTATTATGTAACTGGGAAAAATAAAATTTATTTAATTTTGCGATTTATTTGAATAAAAAAAAAAAACAATTTTTTTTCCGGGTTCAATATAATATCCAATGCACGCCATCGATGACGCCGTTTAATTTTAAGCCTCCACAATCACACATAGTTGCCAAATTACCAAAATTACAGGGTAACATTAGAAAATTTGGAGTATTCTGAACACACTGCATTTAGTAATAATAAATTGTACACAAGAAATTTGAAATACTCCAAATCAATCCCATACAAAAAAAATTTAAATATTAAATTGCATGGCCATGTAATTCAATAATTAAAAAAGTAATTATGTTCAGTTTGTTTATAAACATCTTTTAAAAGAAGTAACATTAGAACAGTTAGATCATAAAATTAGCAACACATGACATTTTAATGTAAAAGAAGTAACATTAGAAGAGTTAGATCATAAAATTAGCAACACATGACATTTTAATGCTTAAGAGGAAACCGGACCTCTCGCGAAAGCAAAAATGTTTTAAGGATTTTCTAATATAAAATTGTATTTATATGGGTGCCATTGGAAATAATTCCTGATATTATGTATCTTGACAATCTGTATATGTAACGTGTGGAGGGTGGGTTACCCCCCCCCCCCCACGGCACTTAGGCCCATTGCGCATCCTCCTAAAATGATAGACACCTCCTAGTTCGTGAGCTAGCCTACAGATTAGATGTAGTTGACAACGTCGCCAAGAGGTGCTTCTCTTCCAGTGTTAGCCGATACTCGCCGAACACAAATCTTCTAATAAATGAGAGCATCGAGCAATCGTAAAGGATATGCTCGATAGCCTCATCTTCTTGTTCGCACTCTCTGCAAAGTGCGGATTCTGACAGCCCCATGATATGGAGATGCTTCCGTACTTGGCAATGACCAGTCAGAATGCCTGTGACTAGGCGCAGATTCTGTCTAGTCATAGTCAAGTATTTGTTTGTTGAAATGTTGTCAGGATAACTTAGGAGCTCCCTGGCAACTCTGCAGTTTCTTGTTTCATCCCATCCTTCCTTGAACTTTACAAGGGAATGATCTTTAATTAGGTCTGTCACTACCGATTTTGTCAGGCCAATAGAGGGGCCAGGTCCAAAAAGTATTTGGTTGGCTGCTTTCTTGGCTAGTGAATCAGCATGATGGTTACCTTTCGATGTGGCATGATCTTTAATCCATCTTAAGGTGACCACGTTGTTGATGGATACTTCGGCCAACACTTCGTGACATTGTAGTCCTAACACTGAGTAAATTCGTGATCTATTTAGGGTGATTAGTGCTTGTCTGCTATCTGTATAGATAAGCATGTTCCTTCCAGTGATATTGTTTCTGGTTATTTCTTTTGCTGCTATGAGAATCCCCGTTAGCTCTGTTTGAACTACACTGGCTCTATTGCTCATAGCCCATTTTATGTTTAGGTTTAAGAATCTGGAGTATATTCCACATCCTGAGCCTTTTTTTGTTTTAGAACCGTCGGTGTAGATATGAATGGTACCTGCCACTTCTGGCTCTTCTATTTGTTCTGTTATAACTTTATATGACTTATGGAAGATATATCTCGGTGAGATGGAGTCCATGTTCGCTTGAAGCAGTGGGAGCGTATCGAGCGCCTCCTGCCAAAAGCGACGTCTCGCCTCACCCGATCTTACATCAGGTTCTATTCCAACCGTGAGGAGGTGTGTCATTATTGTCAGAGCAACCTCCTTGATGTAAATATCAAGGGGAGTGAGACTAAGAATGACTTCCATGGCTTTGTTCGGTGTTGTTTTCATGGCTCCTGTTGTATTGAGACATGATATTCTTTCAATTTGTTCTAGTTTACGGATAGCTGTTAATTTTTGGATTTTTGGTACCCAGAAAACTGCACCGTATGTTAGCATAGGTCTTATAAGTCCATGCGACGACTCTGGGGGAGAAACCCCAGGTGCGACCTACGGTTCGGCGGAATTGTTCATGTCAGTGTATGCTTTTTTGACTCTTTTCTAAATGCGAGTTGCATGTTAGCTTGCTATCAAAGGTAAGACCTAGGTATGGTACTTCACCTCTGTTGCAAAGTTTAGTTTTGTGTTTAGGAGTTCTGGAGGTTTGAATCATTTAAAACATATAGAAAAAATTAATTACTCTCTGTACAATAAGCCTTGAACATGATGACTAAATGAGCTACGTTCTTGTTCCTCTTGAATTTGATCCTTAATCCAATTGCTATTTGGTGTTTTATATGTCAATCTGTTATGATATGAAGCATTGTCCATTACAGTTAAAGATGGTTTATGAAGTCTTAGAAGCAATAGTTGTTCTTCGAATTATTTTAATTTTTTTCGTTATTCTTCTTACTATATCTGTATCTGTAACGTGTGGAGGGTGGGTTACCCCCACGGCACTTAGGCCTCATTAGGTCCATTGTGCATCCTCTTACTATTATAATCACATTGATTGCTTTTAGAAGCGCATATAGCCCCAGCATAAAGAATCATATATCTGTAAAAAATAAATTGCAAAGTTAACATATATATATATATATATATTTCTTAGTTTTTTTTTAACCTTTTACCATCAATTTTTGTACATTTTATTCTTCTTTTATTGTTGTATTGTCAACAACAGTTCATCGAACCATTTTGGAAAATTAAAGTTTCTTCAATATAAACAAACTCATACATACTTGCTTCCTTTTGTTTGACAATATTTTCTTCAAAATTCTGTCCGTTTCACGACAACTTCAGGAATTTTTAAAAACTTCGCCCAAACTTCGCCTTGATTTGTCTTTCTTCCATTTGAAACTTATTTCTAATATGGTATGCAATGATGTGCGACATCTTTAAACACAACTTTCTTTTTTATCATGCATTAATTTATAATTTTTTACTAATAATTTATTAATCTTGGGTTATTTACTACTAACAAATTTGAACGATGAGATCCGGCCAAATTTGATTGATGAGATCTGGCCAAATTTGTTAATAAAGTGAACGGTAGGTCATAGGCTTTTTGGGCTTAGGACGGCAGAACAGCTCCTAAAGGTAGCAAAAGACCATTATTATCACGTTCTTTCTCAAAATAATCTATTAAAAAAGCCACCAACTCCTTACAGCGACTATTTATTTGTTTTTTTTTTTTACATTTTTCAATGAGAAAATACCGCTATTAAATCCACAATTAGTTAATTAATCTCGAAGACAAATAATTTGTCGAAAATAAATCGAACGATGCTAAACACTGGACGCTTGACAACAATGTGCTTAAATTGACAGTTCATGAATTTGATGTCAACTTTCGGTATAAAATTCACTAAAATTATTTTGTTAAAAACCTACCTACGAGATACATTTACTACTGTGATATGTTAACAAATAAATTTTTAGTAAGCAAACTTAAAAAAAAATCTTTGGGTCCAAATTTATTTGTTCAATTATCAAATAAAATTTCATTAATTTAAATGACGTGTGAGATACCAAATGCCCGTTATCGATGACAATCATTTGATTTTATATTGAATTCAGTACATCTGGAAATGTACCACATTTTGGCTTTAAAAAAAAAAGATACAAGAAAATGAAAACCGATTTCAAAGGCCGAAAAATAATATTTATAAAAATTTTCTTAAGACAGATACGGATAAAAAACATATCTTTTTATATTCTACTTGAAAGTTTTTTTATTGTATAATTTTGTTTTTTAACAATTAAGTAATTGCAGATTTGCAAATTCTGAAATGTAGAAATCCTTAATTCCCCCTAAGAAATTATAAAAGTTACACCCTCATAGTTCCAAACCAAAGAAAAATTGAAAATAGCTGAGAATAAAAGAAGAAAAAATGGGTGCAAAACTGGGAGTCGAACCCGGAACCTCAGACTCAGATAACCAATTATCTACAAGACAGTAATTTTATAATTACTGTATTTCTACACGATGTCATACAGTGGCTTAAAGAAGAATTGAGAGAGCTGAGATGGAATGATAATCTGTGTGAAGCGATGGGAATCTGAATACTTCAAGTTAACGAATTGGGACATCAACACGTATGTGTGAGGTAGCTTAATTGATTATAGCGCAGATGGCTCAAGTCTGAGGTTCCGGTTTCGACTCCGTGTTTGCACGCATTTTTTCTTTCTTAAATCGCAGTTTTTTTTCAATTTTTCTTTGGTTTTTTTCACTTAGGGAATAGGAGGGTGTAATGTTCATAAGTTCGTAAGGGAAATTTGTATTTTTCATTTTCAGAATTTCCAAATCTGCATTTAGTTTTTCGGATCCAAACCGACTTTCTCACTTCGCTTTTATTTCAATTAACTAATTAATAAGTTTCTTAATTAGAATTCTTATTTATTTACAAACCATAACATTATGTCTTAGAGCAAATACAAAGAGAGGGCACCCTTATATTTTGTTTTTATTTATTTTTGCATGACGTTTTTTTTGTGTTTTGAAGCCTCCTGCACCCGAAGCACAGCGTTTAGACGATGCTATAGGTTTCCTTAGGGACCATTCCGAGGCAACGGTAAGTTTTTTTATTGCTTTGTTTGTTTTTCACCGACTTTTGTAATTTTCGTATTTTTATCGTATTTTCCATTCGTAATTTAAAATTAAATCAATAGATTTGACTGTTTTTTTTTTCCGTATATTCTCGTATTTTTTGACACTTTACTGAGAGCTGATTTTTTTTAATGAACATTCCTTTAAGAAAATAATATTCATATTAATGTAAATTTATAGATAAACACAGTTATTTGGAATCAAATAAAACAAAACAAATAATATTTCTAAACATATTCTCCTTTTCTTTTCAGGGTACCCGTATGGAAGAAAGATTGGATGATGCTATTAATGTATTAAGGAATCACGCAGAACCCTTAGGTTTAGTAGGACAGCTTCCTACAGCACATCAAATGACCCAATTAGGATATCCAGCTGCCCCATCGACAGAACCTCATTTACCTGATAATATTAAAGTCGAACGGCCCACATACAACACCAGTGAGTTTTTGTATCTATAATATTTTTATAACAAATGATTTATTATTATTTTTTTTACTTCAATCTACTAACAAAAACCGCTAATGGGTTTAATTTCAAATATTTAATTTGTGTATGGAGACTTGTATTATGCATTAATAATTAAGGTGAAAAATAAATCACAAAACCATTGAGGTATCAGTAAAATCACTTGAGCTGATAATTTTAGTTGGTGAATTAAGGTTAAGTTGGTTCACTAAGTAGCCATTGACGTTTTTATGAAGTAATGTCTGCTAGCTCCACTAATATTGAATTTTATGTTATTTTTCAATTTTATGAAAAAAGGGATAAAGGATTTGAAAAAGCTGATTCAAATAATCTTTCTCGCGTTAATTAATTAATGGTACATGAGATTTATGTGGAAAATATGAATTGCATGAGTGTAAAGTACTGATATGGTAAGAATTTAAGTTTTAGGTATATTTTAACGTCTGTATTGTTATTATACCTACTATTATCAAATATACACATAGGAACAACAGAAATAAACGAAAACACAAAATGATACCGTAATTGCAAAATCCAATATGGCGGAAAAATTATCTGCACATTATCACTCGCTGAGTAAAATAACAGCAATTCATTATTTCAATAAACGGTTAAATTCAGTTAACAGAATTATCAAATCGAATGTCATAAACATTTTTTTAAAATTATATTTCCGATGCTTCAAATTTTGTTGATCATCTTGCCGTTAATTATCAAATTTATAATTTTTATTAAAAATAGTTCTAGAATTATTTTCAAGTAATGAACAATAATTTCATTCGATTATTAAAAATCGAAATCGGGTGTAATTCCATTAATACAAATAAAACTGATTGGCCGAGCAGACTTGTCCTTCCGATTACGTTTAATCAGCGACAACAATGAAGGGGAAATTTTACACGCGCGTCACCATCTAGCGCAATTTTAAAAATAGAGTTGCATAAAGCTAAGAACTAATGATAAAAATTAAAGAGTAATTAGGGGAATAATAAACTAAAGAAAAAATCAAAAATTGAAAAAATCTGTTGCGGTCGGGGCTCGAACTCGCGACCACTGAATTGCCGTTCTTATATAATATAGACCACCAGAGAAATATGTTGTAATTGTTAATTTGAGTATATGGTCTCTACTCGGTTTATCAGATCCTTTTAAAACTTTTCAATCATTATCTAGTCACCAATATGGCATCATCCTTCATTTTGACCAATGAGATTGAAATGAAGAAATAAACAACTGAAGGTTTATCCTATAAATTGCAGAAGCAAATACAAGAGAACTCGGGGGGAGATAACGAACCAAAAATAATTGAAAAATTCTCCGGGTGGCGTTCAAACTTGTCGTTCCAAAATCGTAACAACTAGACCACCAAAGGTCGTGGGTTTAAGCGCCACCCGGAGTAGAATTTTTCAATTTTTCTTTGGTTTGTTTCTACAATTTAAACTGACAAAACAATTCTCGAGAATAAACCTTCAGTTTAGTTCCTCATTTCAAGGAAAACATAAAATAATAATCCATTATTGATGCGGCTTATTAGAAAAGTAATTCTTTGATTGTATTGAAGAGGTTAAAATCGAATCTATGTAAATAAAAATGCACTTATATATTGAGGTCACATCACTGAAGATTAAATGCTATTGACATTATAGCAGAATATAACGTATTTGCATTTTTGCACATCACATTCAATTGCTCTTCTAATAAAAACAAAATTATTCGAATTACTTAGAACAAGTGCTGGAATTTATGAAAATATTATACTTTTCACAGTTTAACAGACCCCCTTAACCCATCATTTTCAATCAGATTTTTTTAAGAATCAATAGGGTTCATTCCTTTGTAGAGCATGATTTTTACTAAAAATTTCATTCATATCACTTTTCATTTTTGATTTATGCTTTTTTTTAACTTCAACCCTTCTTAGACCCCCATTTTTAATCAGATTTTTTCACAATCAATAGGCTTCATCCTCTTATCGCTTTTCGTTTTTGATTTACGATTTTTTTAATTTCAACCCCCTTTAACCACCCCATTTATATTCAGATTTTTTTCTAAATCAATGGTCTTCGTCCCCTTATAGAGCTTGATGTCTTCTGAAATTTTCAAATTTTTTGTTTTTGATTTATCGTGCGGACAAAAAATGTGACATCGGACGGACGAAACTAAACGCATAATACTCTTCACAAACTATTGTGCAGCACTTTTTATTATTATAATTTTGAAAAAATAAATTTTTGGCGACTCATAAAAAATGACATTTTACGGATTTATTAACATCCCTAAATTGTCACTTTTTGGCAGTATTTCCTTTATGGCTCTATTTACTTTAAGGTGTCACTTTTTTGGCCGTATTTGGCTTATCGTTAGTAATTCTGTACAAATTTTATTAGTTAACAATAGATTTTTATACCATCAATAAAAATTTGAGACAATTCTTGCATTTATGACATTTTTCAAAAACAAAAATGTAAAAAATAATATTGGCTCTACTTGATTAGACAGTCGCCTAAAAAATGTTGTATGTACCTTGGCCATATGATTTTTTTTGGCCTAACCAGAAGTTGCTTGACCTCGGCTATACGCCTCGGCCGCACATTTCTGATTCGGCCAAAAAATATCAACTTTACGGCCTTGGTACACAAATAACTATTTAAACTTGATTTATTAGAGCATGTAAGCTGCTGGATTACGAGCTTAGAGATACTTACATTGATTCAGGAGTATGTACAATGGGTCTAGAGAGACAAGTAAGGTGTCATGCAATATTTTTAATTCTTCAATGACCAAAGCCGGTTTTGTTCAGGTAGTCTTTTTCCCTTCTTGCCCACATACAAACTAATTGATTTAACTCTTAATCATTATACATGTCTGGATGATAATAATAATAATAATAATCTCTTAAATAGAAAGATTGCTTGCTTCATACTTAGTATCAAAAAAAAAATATATTGTAAAGTTTTTACAATAAAAGTAGAATAAAACTTCAGTGTTTGAAAGAGGAGTATCAAGAATAAACCATTCAATCTATTTTTTTTATCATCAAATAATATGTACCTAGACATATTATGTGGTCCATGGAGACCTAATAAGTGAAGCAGAAGCGATACATCAAGATCAAACCTTCGGGCCTGCTTTACCTGTGTTAGAGTGAATACTGTTACGCAGTAAAGGTTCGAGTAAAAGAAGAAGATGGAATATTAGAGAAATATTCCATGTTAAGAAAAATCTAGACATTTTGAGAAGCTTAGAGAAGGTTAAAGCAACAACCGAGGAATGCTTTCTCAAAGATGAAACAGATTTTCGTCCTTGGGGACATGGTACAAGTCACAGACGTTTTGACTATTTCTTTAAATCAATAGTTTTTATAAAGAAAATAAAATATTATGATGTGTAATAGTAGAACTAAAATAATACTTTTTTTTAGAAAAACGTAAAGAACCTCCAGACACAGACACCAAACCATCGAGTTCAGTAGAAAGTCTAGTACAACCAAATTCAACTAGTGGTCCGCCATCAAAATCGACAAAAAGGTCGAGAAGATAGTAAGTTCATATTTTTCATTATTTTTAATTTTTCAAAGCCTTTTTATATAAAACAATGGCAAAATTAAAAAATTAAATGATATCTATTTCAATTTTGTTCTTTTTTTAAGCAACCAACTTTGGTTTTGATTTTTTTTTTTAATTTCGTTTATTACACATGAAAATTACTTAGAAAGTAACATTTAATAATTTTTGTTGTCATTTTTTTATAATTGTAGAGTTTTCTAAAATAATATAAAAATAGATACTTAGGTTCCACATTCTTTGATGTCAATTTATAAAAAAGAATATATAAATAATATTAGTCGATTTGATAAAAATTAGATTTAGAGATTTTTAAACTTAAATTTACTACTGAGTAAAAATAGTTTTAGTAGAATAAATTATTTTTTTAATTTATTTTTTGTCACTTTTCTGGACATCATCGAAAATAAAAATACTGATTTTTAGTGATCTACATTTTAAATACTATAAACAAATAGGTACCATTTTATGTATCTTATATTATTTAAAACAGAGATATATTATTTTTATACTACGAATATTTAATTTGTAAAATTATGGAGTACTAAGTATTTATGATAAAGTGAAATGACGTGTGGGCCCAAAACAAAGGGCGTTTCTAAAATAGTATTCTTAACCTTTGCAGTATGTAATTCATCAAATTATAAAAGGTATCAAAAGTTAAATTCTGAATGTGTTTTTATTATTGTTTCCGAAAAGCTTATTTAATGATATTTCGGATAGTTATATCTAATAAAATTACTTTATTGTTTTGGTATGAAGCTAATACATTTCTACTATAAATTATGATTTTTTTTTCTTTATTCTTTCATTAAGAGGGCGTTCAAGTATTACGGCGTAAATAAGTTTTTCTTATTTTTCCTTACAAAAGGGCGGGGCGGGGAGATACAAATCCTACGCAAGTGAAAAGAATTACAAAATAAAAAAATTGTTTTCAAAATAAAATTTTTAATTTAAATTACTATTTTTATTAAGGTTATACCGAATTTCTTTTAATATTTCTTATTAGAAAAAATGACAGATCCGAGAATTGACGTAACGATTCTCTACTAAGTAGTATAGTATTTTTTTTAAATGTACATTTTAAATGTTCAATTTGGGAAACCTCTATGCCATTTAACGTGCATTGTCATCTGTTTCATACTTAAAAGTTTTGAAAAATTTTCTTACGTCTTATCATTTGGGGGAAGGGCGGGCTTTTACCATTTTTTATTTTTACTTAGGGGTAAGGGTTTAAAATCATTGAAAGTTTGCTTATGTAATACTTGAACGCCTTCTATCGGAAATTGTTACAGAATAAACTGAGTTTTGCAAGTTAGTAATATAATTAAGCAGAAATAAATTTACCCTGGCAAACAAAAAAATCATTATTGTAGTGACGTCACAGTAAAATATTTTTGTTTCAATACTATAGTCAAAAGTAAACTTTTGACAACCTATATTTCGGAAAACATAAAATTTTTAAACATTTTCAATGAGTACCTACTCAAATTACGTTATGTAAATCGATTTATTGGTACACAAAATAACCTCCTTTAAAATTTATACACTTTTCATTCAATCAAAACATTTTTCACACTGAACAAAATACACCCTATTATAAATGACTGAAAGGCGATAAAAACGCTTGTCATGAATTTTATTTTTAATGTGTCAAAATAAGAATTCATTGGGTGATAAATCAGGCGAATATGGTCAATAAGTAATTAATTGGATGCTGTTCCTCATGCTGTTATTGTTTGCATTGTCATGATGACGAATGATTCACACCAGTAACTTCCGGCAAATAAATAAGTATACTGGTCCGCATTAACTGTCCTCTATCCTCTAAGTCTAATAAACAATTGCAGGATAGCCCGTTTTTTTTTTTTTTTGAAGAAATGAGCAATCATTTTTTTCGAAACACTTCATGAACGCACCACTTTTGTGAAACACTTTTAACAGTCTAACAGTCGAATCTGTGCAGTTTTAGACTCATTTATTCGTCACATGTTACGATGTTTATATACAGAATTTTAACGACCAGCTTTAAATTTCCTTGTACCACTTGACATGTTCCTGTTTTTAATATTCTCTCAAAATATGAGGTATCCAAAGGCAAACTTTCCTGACATACAAGTGATCGTACAAAATCGTAAATATTTGTTCCATCGCAATGCCTAAGGATGTCTATATCTCATTTTATGTCACAGGCGAGAATGGACGTCATCAAAACTGTTGGTCTTCCAAGCTTGCCTAACGAACTAAATTTTTGCACACATTGCTGCGGTGTTAAATCGTATCCAAAATAATGAAAAATCATCACTCGAAATTCAGGATTCAGAATTTTCATTTTTCACACAATTAATTTCTGTTAAAACAAAACTGTCGACTGAAGTATAGTTAAAAACGTCAAACTCTACAAATATGACAAAGGGGAATTCTCCTATGAAAAGAAAATATGTATTACAAAAAAAAAAACACTAGCAAATTTTTATCTTAAAAATCATTAATAGGTAGTTAAAAAGGAGAAAGGGAATCAGGTATTTAATCTTTAAAATGCTTTGTTTCTAATTTAAAATGTTACAACGTAAAATATAAATAAAACTAAAAGCCAATATCACATAAATTACTAGTTTACTAGTTTCCCTTCAGAAAACAACTACTCCTTTGTCTAATACCGCAACAGGTATTGAATTATATCTGAAGGAAAGACGGCAGAGATATAAAATTAAATTTCAACACTTTCAAGGACGAAACCGGTCCAATAATGATGTTCTCCGTAGTGATCAAAATCAAAGGTAGATAGAAATTAAATTTTCTTTCTCTGCCGTCTTTCCTTCGGATATAATTCAATACCTGTTGCGGTATTAGCCAAAGGAGTAGTTGTTTTCTGAAGGGAAACGGTCGCTCGTAATTTATGTGATATTGGCTTTATTTTATTTTTTTATGTTCTTACAACACTCCTACTGTCTGAAACCAATTTTCTCAACATTCAAGCCTCGACACAAATACAAGTTTTTTTTTAGAAGTATCTGTTGAATTTAAAAATTTTTGAACAAAGCACTGTTTGTTGTCTCACAATGCAACATCAAGCAACAAATTTAAATATATTTACTCACAGACTAGATTCTTAAAAAAAGTTTTTAATATATTGATACATAATCCACAATTATATTAGAATAATTTTAAATATATTTTTTTAATTACATGCCATAATAATGATTAAATCAAAATAGGTTACCTTAACTCAAAAGATTATTAAATTAAAAACTTTTCACATTATTACTATTTAATAGTTATAATCCAACTTTACAATCATTACATTAACAAATTTAAGTGGTCATTAGCTATTGAGAGATTTACTAATTATTCTTGCAACCGGGTGTACGTCATTTAAACCAATAATTGTATTAGAAACAGCTAGAAATGATGCGGTTTTAAATAATGGTATTACACCCTGACTGTCGCCAATAACTAGGCAACGTTGCCACATGTCAAACTAGGAACGTAATATTTTAAAGATTAAAAACCACGACTAAAATAATTTTGTATTTAAATCGGGTCTAAGTTAAAACAAATGAGAACGAAACCTATGTTTATACAGGGTGGTTCAGCTTATATCGTCAGAATTTTACCAGTCGATAGTTTATCGTAAAATAGAGGTAGTTTGTCCGATAAAACATTGTACAAGTTTGTTTCCTTTTTGATGTACAGGATTAAAATTTTTTTTAAAAATATTTTTTTATAAATACCTAAATTTTAATGTAATTTTCAGTTTGTTAACAACTTTATGAGGTGTCTTTCAAACATTGATTAGTTTTTGGAACAAAAATATCGCTTTGTAAATTTTTGTATTCATTATATTTTTTTTAAATAAACTAACTAAAAATACAACTTTTTTTGTCTCTTTAATTTATTTGTATCTTTGTATTCAAAGAAAACATTTTGCACATCTCTGATGATCTGAACCCTGTACATCAAAACGAAAGCAAAATTGGATCATAGTTTATTGGACATAGATCACCACCCAGTTTATAAATACCTACCAATTTCTGAAAAAAAAAAAAAAAAAATCCTCATTGCAGAACACTGGAAATATAAGGAGTACTCAGTTCCGTGAACCCAGCAGTGCTCCTTGTAATTAAGAATACTATTTTAGAAACACCCTGTATATAATAGTTATAATTAATATTTCCCATTGAAATTATTTTTTATAGCAATAGTTTATTTTGAATAACTAATAATTCAAAATTACATTTTTAATGTGAACAATAAATATAGCTTTTAAAATAGTAGTACTACTTAAGGAGGTCCTTTCGCCACACCTCTCGCCTCAAATGTTAAAAAAAAAGTTATTAGATTATGACTAAAATTAATTTTTTTCTAATAGTTGAAGTCTTTATTTATCTAATACTGAACTTTTAACTATACCTTACCTTGCAAATTTTTGAGAATTTTTTTTTAAATGTGAATATTTGTACAGTGCCTCACGAGAAAGTAAGTCCTCAACAACAATTCTCGAATTATACTATTATTTATTGATTAGATGGAGTAGAAAAAAACTAAAAATAAGGTTTTTGAAATATTTAGATTTTGTTTTATACAATAAAATATATATAGTAAACCGTGGAACTTATTGAGAAATTAATATTAAAAAATCACAAAAAATTTTCAAGTAACCTAGTTGAAAATTTTTTGTGATTTTTTAATAATAATTTCTCAATAAATTTCACGGTAACCTATATATTTTATTGTAAAAAACAAAACCTAAATATTTCAAAAATCTTATTTTTAGTTTTTTTCTACTCCATCTAATCAATAAATAATAGTAAAATTAATTATAATTCGAAAATTGTTGTTGAAGTCTTACTTTCTCATAAGACACTGCACAAACACACACATTTTTAAAAAACATTTTTCTCAAAAATTTGCACGGTAAGGTATAGTTAAAAGTTCACTATTAGATAAATAAGGACATCTACTATTGGAAAAAA